TGTAACTCTTGATTGAAAAATGGTAGGTGATAACTCTCCTAAGACTTTTGGTAAGCTGGCCTAAGATAGGCAGATGCCATTTTCTTATATAATTATCTAGAACCTAAATTCAAGATTGTTAGACTACCCAGAGAAGTTTGCAGTAGTGTTAAATTGGAAATATGCACATATATATTTAGATAGCATATTTAGATAGCTTATAGATAGATAAAAAGAAATATAGCTAGTGCTACAGAGATATCCACTTGAATTTCATTGATATAGGTAAGAAAATGCATTGGTAAAATTTTTGAAATAATTAATACAAATTTATAAGACTAAGGAGGTTTTCATTGTACTGCATTGTGTGCAGTGCTCAATCACCCATTGAGTATAAAGAGAAATAGACAGCGTCCTTAGCATTTTCCCACATACAGATGAATGCAGAGGTCAACCCAACTGAGTACTACCATCATGTTCAAGACCAAGACTGTTTCAAAATTAAATTAACAGACCAAAATGCACTTTCAGCATTTCCTTTTATTCCTCATCATATAAAAATAAATAAAATAATGTTTAAGATGTCCAAAGGAAAATTACAGCAGATCAATACATAAATTCAGGAGAATGACCATTGGAGCTATTAAAATGTCTCCATGTTTTTTCTGAGTTTTCTTCTAATGAAGAGGAATACAAAAGAAGGCACTGAGGGAGTATCTTTCATTAGTCAGTCTTGGTCCCTGTTGGCTTTAACTTTGATTCTATTTTTAATTTCTCAGCCATGACTAGTTTCACCAAGAGCAGGGATCCAGGTTGGTGATGGGAAAGGTATTATTAACTATTAAATACTGCCAATTACTCTTATATGAATTCAGCTTCTGAGACTTAAGCTTCATTCCCCCACTGGCTCCTGACAGATGAACTACTTTAATAGAGAACAAAGACAACACATTTTTCCCCCTCAATACTGACATGGGGTCATGGATTCACAAATAAATCCTACAGATCATTCTGCCATTCCTTCTCTATAAGTCAAAAGTCTATCCCACACAGAAAAATGGTACACATAGTAATGGTAATGTAGTCAATTTCCACCATTTCACACAATATAGGAGATTTCCCCTCTCTCTCTAATTAGCCATTTCACATAATTCTATTGAATATGAGTTCTAGCTAGAATCTGCCTGCCAATGCAGGAGATGCAGGAAACACAAGAGATGCATGTTCAATCCCCAGGTTGGGGAGATCTCCTGGAGGAGGAAGTGGCAACCCAATCCACTCTAGTATTCTTGTCTGCAAAATTCCATGGACAAAGGAGCCTGGAGAGCTACAGTCCATGGGGCTGCAAAAGAGTTGGACATGACTGAGCAACTGAGAACAAAAAGCACATCACAATACCTCAAGACCCCCCCCAAATATTTTCCCTGAATTTTCAAATCCAACTCCATCCCTAAAATATCTCTTAATTTTGCTCTGTTTTTCTAATATTTACCATGCTTTAGCATCAATTGATCCCCTCTTTTGCAATATTATTGTAACAATTTTATACTCATGGTGAAATGTATTTTTGTATAGTTTAGTGTGATGATTTTAGTTTAACAGAAAGCTTGGAAACAAAGCTTAGAACCAAAATTGTAAACTAGTTTCTCTCCTGTCCTCAGTTACAACTTTCATCAGACTGAAAAACTAAATGGTTTATTAAAACAATTTGATATTAAAAATACAGATCAACTGACAAAGGTAACTATGAAGGGGATTTATTCTCTAGTTTTATATTCTGAAAGACCTTGAAGGTAATTCAAACATATCTTCCACAACATCAATTGTTAAAATAGTGTTTCCTCTGCTACTTTCTTCCTTAAATCCATAGTTATTCTATAATTTTCTCCTCCATCACATATACATTTCATTTTATTCCCAGTCCATACTACATTATTCTCATTTCCCCTCCTTTTACTTAATACTTGGTTATATAATAGACAGCCTATATGAAGTAAGCCATTTTAAAGCATTTGTAGTAGAAAGAGAATTTTGGACTGTAAACAAAAAGATCATCTTTAATGAGGCAAAATATTGGTCTGATTATTCTATTCACAACAGTATTATAAGCATCGGAAAGATTAGTAGTTATTTTTGAGGCAACATGAAAAAGAGAACTTCACATACTCAGAAAATATTAAAGCCCTTTATATGTTTGACATTATTTAATCCTCACAATAGTCATTTAGTGGATTATCATGCTAGTAACTGGTATAGCTAGGATTTGATCCTAGGGAGAGAAACTTTAGATTAAACTCTTAATCATTAAACAAGCCAAGTTCTTATAACTGCCACGAGAAAAACTATTTTTGATACTGGTTGAACTATGATCTCTATGCTACCTTCAAACACTTATGACAGGATAGAAATAGTTTTAGAAACTTCTTCAAGAAACCATGGGAAGAGAACACTGCTAAAATTTGAAATTAATAAGAAATCTCAAGAAATATCTCCAGAAAAATAGCCTGAATTAATTAGTCAGTGTCAATACTGCAAGAATGAAAACAAAGTTTATAAACAATCTTTTTCTGGCAAATTTAGATTGGAGCCTGGTCCACGTCATATTGATTTTTCTAGAGAAAATTACTAATCTATATTCAACAAATGGAGAAATTTTTTTAAAAAATCAGAAATTTTACAATGACAATATTGTAATAATTTTTATATAAAAAGGGAATAGGAGGTAGAGAAAAGTAACATCAAAAGTACAGTCAGGTAAAAAGTATATTTTTCAATGTAGTCTGTGAGAGGTAAAGCAAATCTCCATCCTTTTCTATACCTATTAAGGTCAAGCTCTGAACAGTTGGGTCAAACTTTTAAGACATTCTGATATTTTCTGAACTGAAGTTATAACAATTAGGAAAAGGCAGGAGAAAGTTCACTGGTGGTGCATGTCCCCTTAAGTAGATCATGCAGAGTCATTCTAACCTCAACTATTCAAATTTCCCTTGAGCTGCCCAAAAATAGAAGAAAAAAGAGAAAAAGAAAAACCTGCTGTTCTTTCCCTAGACAGTATCATATTAACCCTAGCCAAATTTCTGATATTAAGAGAAAAATATCAGAATATTTTAAAAACTGTACAGGCTTATATTTATAAACGTGAAGAGCTTTTCCTTCTCTGATTTTTAAAATCCATGACTGAAAAAACAGCAATTGAGACACACAGCAAACTCCAACAAACAAACAAAAAATTCCAAAGAGCCTTTTGTGATAAATGATACATGACAAAATACATTTAAAGAGTTACTAGGCCCAGAGGAATCCAGCAGAGAATAAACACAACAATGTGGGGGTTTTCTACTCCTAAATCCTTTGACAAAAATGACAAAATATGGTCCTTTCATGTAATGACAGGGAGAAATAGGGAGCTTGAGAAGATAAAATATGTTGTTGCTCAGAAGGGGAGATGGTGGTGTCACAAACATCATATTTCAGATTGGCCGTTCTATTTGAAAAGAGTCTCTGAATCTTTTGTTTTTAAGAATGGGGAATGATAAGAGTGGTAGAAAGGGGAGAAACACAAAGCTTCATTTCTTTAACATTCTTGACAGAGAAGACCGTATAAAGGCTACTTCTGAATTCATTTAGCACACCCAGGAAAAACACGCACGCAAATATATTTCTCAACAGAATGCCAGAAAAATGTTGTTGGCACATTTGTATATTTCCAATTCTTCCTTACTACCCTTATTCAACCCCAAACAAATCAATTTAAGTACAACTTCTCTTACTAATGTCTTTCGAAGCATTGCTGCAGTCAGATTTGAGTCAAGTAACCATCTGCTGCAAATACAAATAGAGCTACATTCAAGAATTATATTACACAGGCTTCCTAGTAAAGCTCTTACGTGCAAGCTGTTCTTGTCAAAATCAGAACCATTGTGATGATGCATCTTAATATTCAATCAGACTTTAAGTAAAGAGTGACAAAAGTCCACATATGGATGACAGCTGTTTCTTCAGTAAATATTTTCTCATTTATTGAATGGAGGCTTATGGCAGTTTAGGCTATGTTCCATCAGACATTTCAGCCTGAACTGCTGGGAGATGATTAAAACAATAACAAGGATAAGATTTTTGTTTTTAAATCTTTGTTACAACTTATATCTGAAAAAAGCAACCACCAGCTCCTCCAACTAAAGTTGTACTTTATGCCATTATTTTGAGAATATCCTTTCCCAATAGTTACTGGTAAAAATGCTGATTTTATAGAACTTTATATAATACCATAGTGTTTGTAAAATTAAAGTATAATTCCCATATTAAATTCTTAATTACATGAACAAAGTTATTGGGAATTTAAACATATTTACCTATAATTTGATAAATTATGAAATATTAAAAAAAAGGAATTAGTCTATTATCTAAAAGAAGTTCAGATAAAATAAGGCCTCTTTTAAACCAATAAAGCAGCTTGCAAAACTGGATAGTCAAAGAAAAAGTGAAGATGGATTCTGATGATTAATTCAGTAACTCCATAATACCACAATGTATATACACCGATAGAGGAAAAAATGGTTTCAGTTAACAAACTTCATGTCCTACTAATATCCTCAAACATGTACTATGTTCCTTTAATAAATCCTAAATGTTGTGCTGGACCTAAATTTGTTAATAGTCCATTTTTCAGGTAGAATTTTTGAAGTTTGCTAACGACAAGTTCCACTAAAAAGTAACTTAGGTCTCCTATCTTTAACCTAAAACGATGCTGAGGATCTTCTCTGGTGACATCAAAATGATTATTAGGAGAGTAGTGGGTTGACTGTGTCTTAGGCAAGCCCTGCAACAATGATGTATTAAGGAAATGGCATGCCTCAGCTTCTTCACAGTAGATTACAGCTTCTTTTTTCCTTCCTGTAATGCAACTGTTCAAATCAACATTATAAACAATTTTGAGCCTGTTGTCTTATATTCCACAACTCTTCTCAGACTGTTTTTTAGGGGAAATTATTTCAGATCAAACACTATACAGAATTTCTTACCCTGCCATTGGATCCACTGCTATTGCCTTCGGATTATGAAGTTCCAGGTCAATCAGGGTGACACACACAGACCCGTTGTAATCACACACAAAGATCCGGTCACTGACATGGTCCACAAAATAGAGATTCCTGGTGAGCCAGTCAATTGCCATTTGTTGCACATCTGAAACACACATACACACAATCACTGAATTGCATGTGCAAATCTAGTATCATGAACCTGAGTATGTAAGTCTGTCCAAACCAAAACAGAAGATATTTCAAAAGTACAGTAGATTTACAATAGAAAAATCCCTGCAAGGATAATTTCTATGCCAAAATAAGTGATTATTCTCTAAAATAATGACTATCTCTTGATACTTTTCTTCCTGCTATCTAAGCACTGAGGGTGATCTAGACAAAAGGGCTAAGAGTTTCTAAATCCTAAAGAATAGGTGTTTACAATAAAATATTTCACTAGTTTTTGCATTTATTCAAATAGTGCATCTAACTCAATGGCCATAACTGGTTCAATGACACAGCCAAATGTTTTAGTAGTAAAAGGAATAAATACTTTTTGTGAACTAAAGTAAACTCTTATTTTCAGATCCTCTTCTAACTGGAAATAACACAAAAGGGGGGGGGGGTGATATGTTCTTCTGATGGCATATGTAGACACTGTAAAGTAAGATTGCTCAAAAATCAGTTAATTCTCTAGAAGAGGGCTGTTTCTCTAGAAAAGTAATTTGTTTTATGATGGAAATATTCTATATCTATGCTGTACAATAAAATAATGAGTAGTCAACTGTGTCTAGTGAGCACTTAACTTGTGGCTAGTGTGACTGCAAACTGAATCTTCATTGTATTCTGTTTTAATTAATTCAAACTTGAAAAAAAGTAGAAAGCCAGTGACTCATATGGATAGTACAGGTCTAGAAGAATGTATCTGTTTTTAACTTGAGTATTTTTTATTTGATCAGAACCACACACTGTGAAATTTCATGCTAACCAGTTGATATTTATCCCATTGGATAACCCTAAAAGTTATGGTTTCTTATTCTCTGAGGCACTGACCATTTTTATATCTAGCTATGAATCTCATTTAAAATTTAAGATGCCTGTAAGTAAGTGAATATTGCAATTCACTGGATACAGATTTTTTAGGCCATCAATTACAGTTTCATTTCTGAATTACATGGCTTTTATGGAAACATAAGCATTTAACTACTCCACAAACTACATGAACTGTTTCAGCAGCCAGGATATTTACAAATCTAAACTATTTTTTCTGTCTCCAGAAATGTGGAAATGTAAACTTGGCTTTGTTTTTATTCCCTCTGCATTATTACATTATTTAGAGAACAGAACCCACTGTTTCAAATGTCATTTCAAATACCTAGTGTTCAGATAAAGTATGTGCCAAAGTCCATTCAATAATCCATCTCTCATGCTAGGCCTGCAGTTGGTTTAGTCTATGCAATTGTAAATTCAGACAAAAGAGCTGTTTGACAGCATTCACACCTTTCTTTAATTCTGGATCACTGCAGAAAGATTCTCTACTACTGAAACAATAGGTATTGTTAACAGCCTCCTAGTTTGAAGCAGCAAGGTCTCACTAAAAAACCTAATAATTAGCCTAACAGTAACTGTAGGAATTGATTTTGTTTCCTTTTTCTAAACTTGAAGTTTCTATCTGCTTTTAATATGATTTTTATTAAGACTGGAGAATTAATGCAATTAAACAGAGTTCAAGTAAGTCAATCAATGGATGAATGGATAGACAGAATATAGAGAGAGAAATAAAATTGGGTAAAATATTTTGAACATTTTAGGAGATTTTTTTTTAAGGAGATTTTTGACATTATAAAAATGTCTCTAAAATTTTAATAAGATCCTTATTATTTTATTGTTACTAGAAAAAAAAAATATGTTCCTGCTATAATCTTTTTCTAGTTGCTTTTTATTCATTCTTCAACTAAAAGTTACTAGGATTTTGCCCTCCCTGTTCTTTTGAAACAGTTGCTTTATAGTCATTCAGAATTTCTTATACACCAAAAGTGAAGTTTACTCTTGTATACGTATCTACAACATCTGTAGGAACTGACTACTTACTTCTGAATCATAAAATAATCTAAATATCAATAATGGTAAACATTTAAATTACAATGAAAAAAATACTGAAATTTTTCAAAACTTACAAAGTAACATAAATATAAGTAACTTAACAATATTTTTAAAGTGCAATATATGTTGGACGTAAAAACTTATATAAAAAAATAAAAAGTTGTACACAGGAGAAATTAACTTTAAAATTTGAGGGAAAAGGTTAAAAATAATGAGTAATTATGATAATCTATAATTGGATTTAAAATGTTACATCAGTTTTTTCTTATCACATTATAAGACAACAAATTAATTATCAGAATTGGTGAATGTAGAACTTAACACTTTTGATTCACTATAATGTAATATATGCTAACTATTGTGGACTAAATTGTTTTCCTCCCAAATTTATATGTTAAAGCCTTAATGCCCAGCATGGCAAATGTGAATATATTTGGAAATAAAATCTTTAAAGAGAATATTACATTAAAATGAGGCCATTTAGTGTAAGCCCTAAACCGAACTTTCTAGTGTCCTTATAAAAAGAGATTCAGGCATACAGAGACAATTCTGGAACTACTTGCAAATAGAGAAAAGGTCATCAGCAACCCAAAGAAAGAGATCTCAGAAAGTCCAACCTTGTTGCATCGTGAGCCTGGACTTCCAGCCTGCAGAATATGAGAAAATAGATTTCTTTCTTTTTTTGAGCCACCCGATTTGTGGATTTTTTTAAATTATATATTAAACTTTGTATTTTGTATTGGGGTATAGCTGATTAATAAATAATGTTGTAATAGTTTCAGGTGAACCGTGAAGGGACTCAGTCATGCACATACATATTTCCTTTCTTCGTCAAACTCCCCTCTCATCCAGGCTGCTAAATAATATTGAGCGGTGGTCCATGTGCTATCCAATCAGTCCTTGTTGGTTACCCATTTTAAATATACCCATTTAAAATATACCCATTTTAAATGTGAAGTGTGTGATATTTTTTATGGCAACTCTAGCAAAATAACCCTGCTGCTGCTGCTGCTGCTGCTGAGTCACTTCAGTCGTGTCCGACTCTACACGACCCCATAGACGGCAGCCCACCAGGCTCCCCTGTCCCTGGGATTCTCCAGGCAACAACACTGGAAAATTCAATAGAGTAGTTTATGCCACAAAATAATTGAGGACGGAAATCAAAATCTTGCTAAGAAAAACTACAAAAGAAATGTCTGCATGTGCTTTTAACGTCAGACTAGACCACTTTCTAACAGACTCTTTCAAAGACTGGTTAGTTCCCCTGGGGAATATACTTTTGTTTAATTTACAATTCAATATTTTAAGTGCTAGTCTCTAGGAATTTAAATATTAATGTGTATGTTGACAAATTAAAAATAAGTTTTATTCAATAGAGATGTAAATGATAACCATCAGGTAGTAAATATAGCCCCCAGTTTTACTGTCCAGTATGACATTAAATGGAGAAGGAAATGGCAACCCGCTCCAGTGTTCTCGCCTGGAGAATCCCAGGGACGGGGGAGCCTGGTGGGCTGCCGTCTATGGGGTCGCACAGAGTTGGACAAGACTGAAGCGACTCAGCAGCAGCAGCAGCAGCACCATGACATTACATAGTTTTATATCTAACCTTACTATCTTAAATCAGAATAAGTTTTTTCCTTTCACTGATTGCAAACGCTTCAGTCTATTATGTCTGCTTTTGAGCCAGATTTACCATCTTACTGTTTCTTTTAATAATGAGCTAAATAATTCATAGCATATGTGCATTATATATTTGTATGAGTCATTTTTTTAACTTTTTAAAAATGATAGGTTGGCACATATGAATCTTGATTTCTTTATTTGCCATATTATTTTCAACTAGCAAGAGGTAACAGATGTAAATGTCCACAAAGATTAGAAAAAAATCATAAATAGGCAAAACGTGTTAGGAGAAACTACGAAAACCTAGATGATGGCTCAAAAGTACTAATCTACCTAAAAAAGCAGCCTGAATTTCAGCTGATTGCTTTGATATAGAAATGTTTTATTGTATGAAAGAAGCCCAAAATAAGAATTTCTGAATTTCATTTGAAATCTCTCAATTTTTAAGTATGATAAGCTAATTTTTAAAAATTCTAGAGCACTCTGTATATCAAACAAAACCTGTGTGCAACAAACTGGATCAAAGACCTCCACAGCAACAATGCTAAAGTAAAGCAAATAGTGTATATCATTTTGTTTCAGCCTAACCTAAATACACAGCAAAGCCAGAGATGAAGGGCGGCAGAGATATACATGCTGTGTGCATGCTAAGTCACTTCAGTTGTGTCCTACTCTTTGTGACCCTATGGACTGTAGCCCTCCAGTCTCCTCTGTCCTTGAGATTATCCAGGCAAGAATACTGGAGTGGGTTGCCATTACGTTCTCCAGGAGAATCTTCCTGACCCAGGGATTGAACCCACATTACTTACGACTCCTTCACTGGCAAGAGGGTTCTTTACCACTAGCACATCCTGGGATCCAAGGGATTATTTTAAATGTGATTTTTTAATTTTTATAATGCAGTAAATGTATACAATTTAAAAAGGTATACCACCTTAAGGCTTACAATAAAAAACAGCAATGTTCATTTCACTTCTCTCTACTGTCTTCTGATTGTCTTAACTATTTCAATTATATTTATTAACACTTCCATAATTCTATATGATGTCCCTACTAAAGTTTATATATTATCTATTAACTTTCTATTGTACATAATTAGAAGCTAATTTCTTACAACCCTCCACACACACACACAGATACTTTCTCTCCCCTCATCTTCTCACAACCTTAATTTTATGTTAAATTAATACTCAAGGCTTATATAATTATGATGATGCACATTTCTGATGACAGTTGAAGAAAATAGTTTAATATGATTATAGTTTATTCTTGAATAACTTTTGCACTTTTTTAGCATTCCAGTATTTTTTCTCTTTGTTGCAATTAATCATCACATAATTCTAAAACACAAACACACACACACACACACACACACACACACACAACTCTGAGAATGCAAACTGGTGCAGCCACTATGGATAACATTATAAAATG